TGCTGATGGTTTTGCTTTGTTACTTTGTGATTCTCTGCATCTCCTGCTGTCTCTTGGATTTTGGAAACTCATTGGTTTACCCTGTGACCTCATTTCTCTGATGATTCTAAGAAGCACCATCGATTTTTCAGTTTGTTCATTTTTTTTTAACTTGTTATGAAGAGAAGGAGGCGTCTAAGGTCCTCCTTGCTGGGAGCTGCCAACACTTGGTGTTGTCTTACAGATTCTGACCATCCCAGTACATGTGAAATAGTGTGGCTGTGGTTTGACTTGCATTTCCTTGGTGACTGATGCTGTCAAGCACGGTACACATAATTTTAAATAGCATTTATGTGTTTTTTTATTAAACTAAATTTCATTGTTTTAGGATAAACATACAGTTTTCCAGTGATGAGGTTGCCCGGTTAATCCTGTGAGCCAGCTACCATTTAGATACTTTTAGAGTTTTTCCTCACTGGTTTTGATTAGCTTTCCAGGTTGAGGTTTCTTCGTGAAACATGTGGCATTAGAAGTAGATAATAGATGCCTAAACTTGTAGCTCAATTGTAGCTTGTAACTGACATTCATTTTTGCCAGGCAAACACTGATGTCATGTGATCAGGATATAGTAGAGAAATTGATATTCGAAAGGTTTGTCATAGCTACTTCACGCTGCCCAGCTGCTGGTCCTTGGGAAACGTCCTCACATCAGCTCATGCAGCCCAGGATGCTCACCATCACCTCACCCTCACCCACCTGCAGCCCCCACCCCCGCCAGGGCACCGGAGTGAGCGCAGAGCACGTCCCCCTGATATGGCAGTGCTAGTGTCTCAAGCACATCTTCCCACCACATCTTCTTGACAGCTCCTCCGTTCACTCCATGCAGTTTCTCCCAGGTCCAAATCTTTGAGGAAAAAAGCAACTGCCAAATGGCATCCATATACATGCGCACGCGTACACACACACACACACACACACACACACACGTGCACACACACCCCTCCCAGTCATTTCTACTTAGGGGAGCTGTGCCCTTTGGTGAAGATGTCGGCTGAAGGCCACTACTAAAGTATGACCTCAGAGGACCGATTCATTTTCGGTCATCAACCTGGGCAAGAATAGTCCAGGGTCCGTGACCTTGGTTGGCCAGTCTGGAGTTGGAGCTGCCTTCTTCACGTCTGTCTCAAGGTGACAGAGAGCAGGAGACTTCAGGGTTGCTTTAAGATGTGCGTATTTACAATCTTGAAAAACCCCACTATATGGAAGAATTACAAGAAAACTGGTGATTTCAAAAATATCAGGAGCTATTGAGATAGGTGTGTAAGAGAACGAGATAGGTTTCCTTGACGACGGATAACGGTCTGACTGAGTTAATCACTGTGTGATGATCTATCAGGAAGTCAGCTCACTGATGAGCTGTCTGGAGGGGGTCGATGTGCGTGTGGCCCTGGGCCTGGACAGAGCACCAAGTGCGTCCCAGTGCGTGGCTTCATTCTTCTCTCGAGGACCGGAGGAGCAAAGGGTGATGGTGCGAATGCCAGGCTGTGGACAGGAGCAGGGCCGGCTGCACACAAATCCTCCGAGTGAGACTGCTTGATGAGGGATTTTCCTTTCTGTCAAAGTGATCCTGTTACACTGCCAGATCTGAATGTCACCTTTGTGCCCCTGTGGGCCTCAGGCTAGCTCAGGGAGCTCAGTGGGTTTCCTCCCTGACACCTACTGCAATCAATTGGGGAAGATCTCCCAGAGCCCTGCGCGGCCGAGGGAGTGCTCTGCGAGCCTTGGTGGTGGCTGTGATGGGCCAGATGGAAGGAGGAGAATCCCACTGCCAGCAGCGGCCAACTGTGATCTCTAGATGGTGACAGTTGGTTGGTGGGTGAGTCGGAGGAAAAAAGGAAATTTGAGAATATCAGTTAGGTTTTGATTAAAAATTGCCTGAGAATATATCAAATATTTTCTATAGCTGTATGCAATCCTTTCGCTATATTGGAAATCTAAATGTATCTCTTGGGGAAAAAACTTGCGATGACCACAGTGTGGAGAGACAAATACAGCAAAGGAGCCAAAAGCTGCAGATCTCCAGGATCCTGGTTCCTGGTCTGGCTCAGGCCTACTGGGTGCCTGTTCCAGGAATATCGGGGACACTGGGAGAGAAGCCGCCATCTGCCGGCGTTCTCTCTGTTGCAATCTTATGTTTTGGGCAGAAAAAAATGTGGATCTGTATATTTTAGCAGTTAATCAAATATCACTAATTTCAAAACTTTTTGGGAAAAAGCACATGCATTTTATAGTTCTCAATTATATTCTTATCTTTCTTATTTTGTTATTGAAATTTAATATTGGGTGTGTACATTCTATTTGGAAAACCAGTTTAGAAGGGGGACCTCCTGGAAAGCCTAAGTAAATAGACACATACATTCCGTGATCACAGCTCGCGCGGGAGGAAGTAGATAGAGCAGTGCCATTCACAGAAGAGCACTCCCTTCCAGGGGGTCTTTCCACGGCAGGGTGGCATTCTTTTAGGGAGAACCCAGCCCAGGAGAGACGCGCCCCCACGCACCCATCCCTGAAAGGGGCCGAGGCCCGTCGGGTGCTACGGCCCCGGGGCCGTCCTCAGGGCGCCTCCGGCAGGCGGGCGGCGGCGGCGCTCCGCACCCTGCGCGCTCCCTGCTCGGCCTCCCTGCGTGTCCTTCTTCCACCTGCCGCAGGCTCGGGGTCGCCGTGCTGCAGACAGCGCGGGTCACCTTCCGACTGTCCAGGCCCCCGCCCCGCGAGCGGTGCCCGAGACACGCGCGCGCCGAGCAGGGGCGCCGGGGTCGCGGGCCTCACCTGCGCGGGCGGGCGGCGGTGCCTTCGCGGGCGCGGGCCGGGCCGGGAGACCCCGCGGGCGGGTTCGTCATCGTGTGGTCGCGCGACGCCGCAGCCTCCTCGCGCTGCCACGATCACGTGTTCCGACCAGCCGACCGGAAAGGGCGGCAGTCCCGCTGCCTCGACGGGCGGCCTGGTGGCCAGGGAGGGCTGGGGTGGCGGCTGCGGCGCCGAGGGCGGGGTGGGGCGGGCCGGGGCAGGTTCCCCACGCTGGGCGGCAGCTCAGACGCTGGGTCTCCACTCTGGGTCGGGCGTCGAGCCCTCTCCGTCTGTCTCTGCGCCTCTCGGGGCATTCCCTCCCTCGAGCCCGCGAGCAGTGGAGGGGGCGGCCCGCTGTGGAGGGACGCTTCGTGTCTGAGCGGCAGGAGCAGCTGCCTGATAGACGGTGCTGAGGGACGAGTCTGCCGCTTGAGGGGGGGGAGCAGAGCGGAGGGGAAAGGGGGGGAGGGGGGAGGGGCGGGGCGGGGCAGAAGGGAGGGAGGAAGAGACAGGCACGTCTAAAGCGGCTGGGGAAGGAAATGGTCAGCACGAAACCAGAGGAGCAAAACCCAGGAGGTAGTTTATGCCGGACTCCTATTTCCTGGGTAACAAGCATCATGAAGAAAAAGAGTACCTTGGTTACATAGAAAAAGAGAAACCAGACCCACTCTGCCCAAGCCAGCAAGCGGGGAGCAAGCAGTAGCGCGAGCGCACGCCTGGGGACAGCCGCGCAGGGCCCAGCCCCGAGAGTTAGGGCGCCTCGGCCAGGCGCGCCCTCTCCGCAGCAGCCCCTGAGGAGCATGAGCACTGCGCGGTGATCAAAGACATGTACCTTGAAAGCTGTTATTTGGACTGAGTACTTAGAAAAATGAGCAGAGTAACCACAAGTGTCTGGTGAAACCGCACATTTGCTTACATAGTAGGAGCAGTTTTCCAGGGCAGCTTGGCTACCCTTGCTGAGTCTCCAGAAAGTCTGTGAATTTTCCAGCAAGTTATTTCCGTTTTAGAAGCCTGTCCTGCGGAAATCGTCCTCTGCAAATTGTCAGTCTACTGCTAATTATGGTGTTAAAAATGGAAAAACTCTGCGTTTGCAGTTACAAGAGCATGTTTGCCCAACCCAAGGCGCCACCAGGGAGGTGGCCGGGATGCCACCCTTGCCTCCAGCTGACGCCCTGTGGCTCAGAGGCCAGGGGGGTGGCCCAGCAGCCCCAGACTTCACCGCACACTTGAGAATCACAACATCATGGAGTAGCACACGGACATCAGTGTGTTTAAAGACAACACGTAACATGCAAATGTGAAAAAATAAAAAAAATGCAAAAATGTATATAACCTAAGATTAAGTGCACCAAAGCAAATGAACATTGCTCATGTTTAATAGGGCCTTCACTTTGTAAATACGCGTGTTGCAGGTTTGCGATATTGAAACCACCCGCCTTGTGTATTCACCTGTCCGCCATACCCACACCTCCGCGACACCAGCTCTTCGCAGTGTTCTGTGACGGGAGCTGGGTCACTGCTCTGCACCCCTGTGTCCTTGCACAGGATCTTCTCTGAGGACTGACTTCTTCTTATCAGCATGGGATCTCGGCCACAAACTTCTTAGCACACATGTGGCATGCTCAAAGCTCCTCGTTTGCTCTCATCCTGGATGTGTATTAGCCTTTCATGGTCACATTGGTTTTTTGCAAAGAGAGACCCCTCTTCATTAGCAGGTGCTGTTTTATCATTGACGACACAGTAAGATGTGGTGCCGGGCGCCCGGCCACAGGCAGGATGTGGCTGCTGGAGCAGAGCGCGCGAAGTCTTTGAGCAGCCAGCCGCATCCTCCTCCCACCAGCTCTTTTTTTAGCTGACGGCAACTCCCAGGATTCTGTGAGCCAGGGTTCACCTCCCCTTTGTGTTGCTGTCACGGCCCTCTCACCTCAGCAGGTCTCCCAACAGTCTCACTGCCAAGCATGGCAGAAATTGAGGAAATAGTAAGCACTAGGAAATTCAAAGAACCGAGCTCACTCAGCTAAAAGTTGCTGATAGAGGGAACCAGAAAAGGGTGAAAATGAACACAGTCGTTTCCCCTCTTAGGTTAACGATGCCTGGTTCTTTGTTATCTCAAAAAAAAAAAAATGATCAGATGTGCACTGGTTGCCTTGAACCCACAGCGATCTGAACAGATGGAAGTTTCAACTAATCCCAGCAGCGTTTGCACAATGTCGTGAAGGTGGCATGGTTTACAGTGGTCTTAACGTCCTTAAGTGCTGGAATCATTTAAAGTGTCATATAAAATAAATACTGTAGCATGCGTTTCTTTACTGGCCCAAAGCACCAGAACCAGAGACATTCATTTTGCTTCCAGCTCAGAGTCATGTAGACGGTGAGATCAGTGCTGCGCACCTGCAGTGCCCCTTGACACTTGCCCTTGAGGGTATTTCGGGGCTAAGAAAGGTCATAATCCTGCTGCTATGCCACAAGGGTTTAGCTGCCATGACTGAGTTTGGAGAGAGTGTAGGTGCAGACATACACTTCCACTGACTAAGTATGAGCAGAAATTGCTAGAATTTGGAGGTTGGTGTTATGCTAAAGAACACCAAAGTGTTTGAGGAAATATCTAAACTTATAACATCATAATATATTCTTATATTAAAGAATATAACTCTGTATAGTTATCATGACAATTGTATATACTTATCAAGTTACTCAATGGCAACAGTCTCATTTTTCCTAATATCTGTGATTTGAAATCCATGACTCTGGGGGGGTGCCAGATCCGGACTTGAACGCCTGCAGCTCCCCACATGGAGGTGGAGTTTGTGGGGCACATGCCCGGCGCCCTGAAAGTGCTGGTCGCACCCTTATGCCGGGTCACCGAGGGTGTCCTTGCAGCTTCCTCCAATGCACCTTCTGTCTCTGAGACACTTAGGAGTGCTGGGTTAAGGCTGGAAATACTTGCAAGGTTTTTGGGAGAAATCTACAGGACATTTGGAAATGGACTGCCTTGTATGGGCTGCACATGAGGTGATCCCACAGAAACTGGAACAAAGGAAAACGAAGCAAGGATGTGGGAAAAAAGACACTTGATGCTGTGTGCTGTCGGCAGCAGCTGGGCAGCTGTGCTGGTGAGGACGGAAGACACTAAGCCCATGCTGGGGCCAGGAGCCAGCTCAGAGACAGGCTACAGGACCAGATGGCTTTATGGCTTCAGTAAACAGGAGATCTGCATGATGCCTCCCCATTAATTTGGTCAAGAAAAGTTAGACAACAATGTGCAATTGTGCCTTGTTGGAAAACTAGCTCTTTAAATGGCCAGCTGGTAATTAGGGAGAAACTGAACTGCAGGGGGACGGAGTGGGTCAGAGTCCTGTCACTCACCACCCAGGCCACAGGGGAGGGCCAGCATGTGGGAGGCCATGCAGGCCAGTCCTCATGCAGGAAGAGGATTCTCTGCATTCGGCGCCTCCTCCTGCAGTTTCCTTGTTTGTGCAGATCTGTAGTTTCCTGAACTTTTGTCTATAAGCCTTGGGCGAATGCCATTAGGTTTCTCTTCAAGAAGAACCAACAAACCACTTACTGCTAAATTCTGACCCAGTGAACGCACATCACTCCTCCCGGCCCGTCTCATGAAGTGGGTCTCCATGGACCTTTCGAACCGAGTCCTCTGTGAGCAAGTAGATGGGAACCCTCATAAGCGTCATTAATTCCATGGCCTGAATTGACAAGTCATCGTCCCTACAGCTCTCTCCGTTCACCACCTGAATTGTGCTGAGTGATCTGTAGAGAAGTTAGCAGCTCTCCGTTCCCAGACAGTTGATGCCATTCGATGGAGCTAAGAATGCTAAGAATGCCTGATTTCCTGGATTTTCAAGAGAATGAAAATCAATTAAAAACCCCTCAACATTATGAGACTACTGTTGGTTTCTCAAAATCAGCAACTAAATGGAAATGTTATTATTACTGTAAGGAACAAACCATGCTCCTCTGTGAGCAGTGCGTATCTCACAGCGTGTTCTGAGCCCGGTCTCTAAGGCAGAGCGGCCAGCAGAGTGCAGTGAGAACCACGGGGGCTGTCACCTCTGCCTACTGCCCTGTGCAGAAGAAAAAAGGCACAGGAATTGCTTTTAGAAGGTATTTCACTTAACACAGATATCCGAGAGTTATTTCAATATGTACGCATCATTCCAATGGCTGAGATAATTTATACTCTGTGTGTTGAGTGTGGAAGTTGAGTATGTATTTTTTATTCAAGTGGAGTAAATAATAGGGATGCAAATATTAGTTTAAAAGTGAAACAAATCAATCACAACCAAACAAGAAAAAGAAAAAGTGACAGAGTTCCAATGCTTAGCTGTTCAAAGATTGAATGGATTTCCTCGAGTTCCTTATATAGAAATGTCTAAAGAATGATTCATTGTTAATCTATTGTCAAAGAAGCTTTATTCCTCACTCTCTCTGTATTTTTATCCCAAACTATTTGAGAATAGATTACAGATATCACGACCTTTTACTCCTAAAAATTTCATCACATGTACGAGAAGAACATTTTGTTATGTCACTGCAGCACAATTAACAAAATTAGGAAAATTAGCAATGACAAAATACTGTTGTATAATATATAGTCCATGATCCCGTTTAGCCAATTACCTTATTAGGTCTTTTGTGATAGGCTTTTTTGCTCTGATTCAAGATCCAGTCTGTTTTTATGAATTGTTGTTAGTTGCTAGGACCATTTAATCTCATTATCTTAAACAGTTTCTCACATTTTTCTTGGTATTTTTTTTAACACTGAACATTTTGTAGGGTGGTGGCCAAGTATTTTGTAGACTCTCCCACAATTAAAACTGGAATTATTTTGTCCTTGGGTGTCCATAGAATTCTCTGGTGAAGCCCTACCTCTGGATTTGGAGGTGTCTATGTGAAGTAATTTTCAGTGTCTGATTCAGTATCTTTAACTGTTATGAGATGATGAAAAAAATTATTTTTCATTTAGTTGTTTTACTTAACTTTTCTAGCACCCCACCAATTTTATTTTGATTGTATTTATTACTTAAAGGTGTTGATAATCTTTCAGTGTTTATAAAATATTTAGTTATGCTCTTTTTAAATTTGCAATTTGCCATAATGATTCTTTGTCCTTTTTTCTTCCTAAAGAGAATGGTCACTATTTTCCCATAATTTTAGTCTATTCAGAAACTCAACCTTAAAATTTGCCAGTTTTTGTTACTTTTCACTTGTTTACTACTTAATTTCTCATATTCATATTTTCCCTTCTTGTTTAGATTTCTTTGAATGTTCTTACTGAAAATTTCTTTACATCATTAATATTTTGCCATTCTCCTTTTCAATACCTGTAATAAAAGTATAGCTTCTCTTCAAGCTATTATTTGTTTGCAACTGATGGGTCTTGATATAAAGTCCTATTAGTGTTTGTTCAAAATATTTTCTAGGGCCTCCCCTGGTGGTGCAGCGGGTGAGCGCTAGGGAGCAGAACAGGCTGATCTGCTGAAATACACTGCTGAGGGGAGCAGTGGGAAGACAGGAGAGGTCTGCTGCGCCATCTGGGCCATCTGGGTCACCTCCCTGGCTTGCCTGGGGATCTAACTCTGTGCTCCAGTGGCTCCTGACAGCTTCATGGGGCTGAGACTTAACCCCTGCGCTACCAGGGAGGCACTATGTTCTTACTTTATTTTTCTTGCTTTATTTTTTTTATTAGTTGTTTTTAATTTTCTTACATCATTGTTCATTTTTTAACAATATGTTTCCCCCCACCCCCACAGGTATAGTCCCCATAGAGTTTCCTTCCCCAGTGCACCATCACCTCAGTCCCCTGTGCTCCTCCCTCCCTCCCTCTGATCCCTCTCCCTCCTCCTCTCCTGCAGTATATCTGTCATATACTGTGACTGTTTTTGCTTTGTTGTGTTTGTACAGTTATTATTTTTTTACACTGATGTCTTATTGGGTTCCCCTCTATTCCTGCTATAAGTGAAACCATCCGATATTTTTCTTTTTACTTCTGGCTTATTTCACTGAGCATAATTCCTTCTAGCTTCATCCACGTTGCTGCGAATGCCATGAGTTTATCTTTTTTTTAATAAATTATTGTATTTTATATAATTCTTACATCATTTTTCATTTTTGCATAATGTATGCATTTTCTTTTTGCTATATTCCCCATACAATTCCCACCCCTTTATCTGACCCTAATCCCTCTTCTCCCCTCCCTCGCCCCCCACTGTAGTGTAGGTTCTTATTATTTATTTATTTATTTATACAAGCACTGGGTACAGTTGGAAGCGCGGGAAGGTGAGAGAATTCACCAGAGCCAGAGCTGGGTACAGGACAGGCAGACCGACAAAATACACTGCTGAAGAGAGCAGCGGGCGCGGCAGGAGAGGTCTGCGCGCCATGTGGGACCCTCGCCTGCGGCCTGGGGGCACCGAACCGTGCTGCAGAGGCCGCGGGGAGCCTTGCAGCCTAGCGCTCAACCGCTGCGCCACCAGGGGAGGCCCTAGGTTCTTATTTTTAAAGAGCAGTTTTTGGTTCACAGCAAAACTGACAAAAAGCACAGAGTTCCCAGTGTGCCACATACCCTCCATACACACAGCTTCCCCATTTGTCAAAATCCTGCACCAGAGTAGTATTTTGGTTATAACTGATGAACCTGCACTGATACATCATTATTAATTCAAGTCCAGAGTTTATATTAAAGTTTACTAAATGCTTTATATTTGATAGATTTTGGCAAATGTGAATGGCACGCATCCTCAAGTGTAGTATCATACAGGATAGTTTCCTTACTTAGAAATCATTTCGTCTATTAATCCTCCCCCACTTACCCCATCTCACCACTGAGGGTTTTTTGTCTTCATAGTTTTTCCTTTTCCAAAATGTCATATGGTCGGAGCACACCAAACTGCTGGATTTTTGTTGGAATTGCATTGATTCTATAGAGAAAGTTGACATAAGAAAAATGACATCTTGATATTATTGAGTGTTCCTATCCATGAATGTGGGAACCTCTCCACTTATTTAGTTTTTCTTTGATTTTTTTTAAATCAAAGTTTTGTGGTTTCGTTATTCGGGTCTTGTACACATTTTGTTGGATATATACCTAATATTTTATTTTTGGGTGGTGTTAATGTAAAAGGTAATTTGGTTTTAATTTCTAGTTGTTTGTTGGTGACATATAGGAAAACAACTGACTTTTGAATATTAACCTTGAATCTGCAAACTTTGTGTAATCATTTACTAGTTCCAGAAATTTTTTTGACAGTTTCTTTTTTTTTTTCCCAGATTTACCACACAGGTGATCATGTGATCTGTGATTTATACTTAAAGGACCGTGTTATTTCTTACAAATCGATAGTGTTTTTTTTTTTTTTTTTAAGTTTTCTTATTTCATTAGCTGGAACTTCCAGTGTGATGTGGAGACAGAGTGGTGAGAAGGGACATTCTTGTCTTTTTTCTGATCTGAGCAAAATAGGCTTCTCGTTCCTCACCGTTACATATGATGTTAACGGTAGTTTCTTATGAAGATCTTCCTTATCAAGGAATTTCTCAAGGAAGAACTTCTCTATTCCTTGTTTGCTAAGAATGGTTATCATGAGTGGTTGGTTGTTGGGTTTTGTCAGCTGCTTTTTTCTGCACCTATTGATAAATCTTTTGATTCCTACTTTAGTCTGCTGGTAGAGGATGTATTACATCCATTGATTTTTTTTTTTGAATGTGGACCGGTCTTGCATAACTGCTTATTGGAAATATTCTAAATGCATGCAATTATTTTCTAATTACTGCCTCCAAATAAATATTAGTAAACATTATATGTTTTTGGTTAATAAAAACATGTGATGTAGAATCACAGTCCTTTCAGTATAATCCTAAAATCCAAAATTTGGATAGTGAAACGAAGCAAAACCCTAAGTTCCTTAATGTTTAGCAGTAAACATCCTTCACACTGAAATGAGGATATTTATAGTCTTCACTTATCCCGTTTCATGTGAATATTCATCTGTTTCTCCGCAGATGTATTGATGTGTTTGGTTATGGCTGCTTCCTCAGGCCCCCTGGGAGGATCTTCTTATAAACATGCTGTGCCCTGTATTAGCCTTCCAAAATTAAAAAACTTTCAATTGCAAAAGACATATTGCCCTAAGAATTTAAGATAAGGGATTAAGGATCTGTATTGAGATCTTTGTTAGTTTTCTGACTTGTTAAGTATTTGATATTGGAACAAGGTGTTTGCATGCTAATGGTGTTTACAGTTTCAGTGTGGATTTAATCTTTCAATCCACAAGCTTTAGGTACTTGTCATTTTTACAAAGTCATTCTAAGAACTATGAAGTGTTCTCCCTCTGAATAGAGACGTGTATTTCTGGTGTGTAAGTTGGGAAAGCGGCGCCCGCCACGACCCGCCCCGCGCGCATCCTGCGGCTCTCTGCCGGGAGCGCGGGCCTGTGTTTGTCTGGCATGTGACCTGCACTGTACTCCGTGCTCTCATTTCTCCGTTCTGACTCCCTGTTGGAGATCATGGCTTTTCCTTTCTTTTTTTTCAATTTTATTTTCTCTTGATTTTGTCCTTTTTCTAGTTTCCTCACCTCAGTTCCAGAAACCAAGTCAAAGCATGGAATAATAAAATCAATAGAGAAAACATCATGCATGGGTGAGAACCCAGTTTGAAAGGGGCTAACGTCCTACAGAAAGGAACTGTCTGGGGCACGCGTGTGTGCGTGTGCTTTGACAAGGTCATGACGTGTAATTCTGTCATGACCCATATCTGTGAATAGTCTTATTATCATCCTTAAGTTATTAGACTTTCCGTGTGTTGGCTATTTTCTGTCAGGACAATCATTGGTAAAGTAATCGACACTGGAAGCAGTTCCAAAAACATACCGTTAAAATGCTCTGTGAGATCGGGTTGCCCGTGACATCAAGAGATGCAGAAATAACTTTTTTGCAAGGGCAAAATAGTCACACATGAGTCTGTGGCCTCACAGTTATGCAGATGGCCAAAGAAGATGCTGCGCAGGCAGGGTGGTTGGGACGGGGATTGGGAAGTTTTATAGGCATGCACAAGGGCCACAGCAGGGTCCTGGTACAGTGTTGCTATTGACACGAAGGTCTGCAGCGCTGAGAGGCTGCATCTCTAACGGGCTCCCAGGTGATGTCAGTGCGACCGAATCCAGAAGGTGTGTGAAGCAGCAGGACTCGGAGGTCCAGTGGGGTAGCACTTAGCTGCTGTGCATCAGCAGCCCCAGTGAGCAACCAAGGCGTCGGCCGGCTCCTCACGGCTCTGCGCAACCACTAAGGGGCATGGAGGGGCTACCGGATGTGGCTGTGCACCTTGGGAGAAATGTGGAGGCCCTTGGCACCCTGGCTGGCCTCAGGTGATCTGTCATCCACTGTAGGCCCAGTAGAGGTGGCTCATGTCCGGCCAGGGCCAGTCTCAAGAGAGAGATCACATTGTTGTGGCAACACTTACATGCTCAGGTTTTGAAAGCTGCATTGAAGCACTCGTGGGGATGAAAGAGGTGTTCCTTGGGGACTCATGCTTACGTTGTTATGCCTCACCTGGTGTTCACCATTGAAATATATTTCTTTTCCAATTGAATGTTTGTTGATATAAACTGAGCTTAATGAAATAGCAACCTTGCAGCTTCAACTTCTAATTCATATTTGTTTGAAATATTCTTGACCGTACCTATGTTTCTAAACCTTCTTGGCATTCTGCTTTATAAATTCTGATCAGTGGTAAATAGCTGGATTTTCTTCACTTGACATAAATTAAAAGTCCTTGTACTTTGAGAGGAAAAGGCAAACTGTTCCATTTAATGACGGCAACTGATGTAAATGGCTTCCCTTCAGCCATCCTATTTTGTGTAAACGGTACGATTTTACTGTCTGCATCTCTCCTTCTCCCCTTTTTCAAAATCTTTTATTAAATTTCACTGGATTTTTAGTAAAAAGGTGAGATTGGAGAGAGATAATGGCAAAAAGTGGCATGAATACTGGGATGTCATTGTTTCATCTATATCCTTATGGCTACAGCCAATAGCAGGTTACGGGCATTTGTCAGGCGGGGCCATGTCTGATAACACCACCTATTTCTGTGTGTTGGAATTGGGGGTGATTTTTTTTACTTTTTACTTTTTAAAATTCATTTCTCTACCAACTACTTAAGCTTTACAGTCAGCAGAAGATAGCAGCCACGTTGTCTCTTCTCCGTGAGGGCTGTTCTGCTCTGACCCGGTGGGCCTGCTCCTGCTCCCAGCCGGCGCTGCATCCTGCCTCTTGCGTCCCCCGCCCGGACAGAGCACTTGCTCCCTAGCTCCGTCCTTTTCTTGGCGTTTCCTCTGCGGTGTGTGTTGTTGCTGTACTGGACCCGTGGGCTTGTTCAGGGACCCTTCATCTTTAAGCAGTCTGGTATCTTCAAGCCCGGGTATCTGTGTGTTTGGGTCTGCTCCAGCATGTGCTCAAGGGCCACGGCGGCTCCGCGGCTTGTGTTCCAGGTGTAATATTGTGGGCTGGGCCTTAGCGCCCAAAGAGGGCTGAATGATATTCTGTTAAGATGCTCAAAAGCGTGGATTTAGAGAATACTGAATTTAATAGTTTTAAACATAAAATGTACTATGTTTATAGATAACATCTATGTGGATGGTAATGACGCTTGACAAGTTTTTGGCTCACCATTTGTAATCATGATTTTCAGTCCTAAGCAGAATTTACCCCCCACCCCAAACTATGTCAGAGAATTTGCCTGATGAGCAAACAGCCATATTCTGCTTCTTCAAGGTAAGTGGGGTTCACAGCAGCCCCAGGGCCGCCAAGCCCCGTCTGCTGCCAGAGGCCGTCCGGCAGCTGACAACATCGCTCACGCGCAGCCCGCCGCCACCAAGGCCTTAATCGAGCTCCCTGCTCTTGCCGGAAAAAGTGGAAGTTGCACAAATAGATTAATTCTTCCGTGGCTCATTTTTGAAGTCTCAAATGAATGAATATGCCTGATTAGTGGAGTTAAATATACAGCTGAATCCCAGCTTCAAGGGAGTCTGGGGGTTGAGTTTTGACTCCATATGAGAGGAATTTCATCTCCTTATGTTTTCCTGTTCTGTCCTAGGTGACTTCTTAAATTCTAATTTAAAATACACGTGACTGCATTATTTTTTTCTCTCCAAGTTTTCCCAAGACTGACTTCCAGCTCTTCCATTCATTAAAGAAAATAATCTTCCAGCTATTTATACCAAATATATTGCTTCCTCATTATCTCTGTGTGTTCTAAATATACTTATTGTTTCATAACTTTATTTCTGTTGGTGTGAGTTCTTCTGTTTATGGCGTTCTCTGAGAGCCGCTCAGGGGTGACCCTGCGCCTGCGAGCGTCGCTGCAGCTGCTGTGCTGGGAACCGCTGCCCGCCTGGCGCTGCCCGGCGCCTGCCCACCTGCCACCGCCGCTCCCGTCTCGGGATGCCCGCGCCGGGGCTGCTGCCCGTCAGTGCCGGCCGTTTGTTCAGAAAACGTCAGATACCCTTAGAAAGCAGTTTCTTTGCATGGAGAATGGGGTTCTAAGAGATCCTGTTCCCTGCTTGAGCGAACCCGGTGGTCAGTGGCCTTGGGAGCGAACCGAGCTGGATGTCAACACCTGCTCGAGGCCACTGACCTGCCTCTCTCGGCGCTCTTTCTGCCCGCTGCGTCCTTCACTCTTCTCTCCCTTTTTATAATAAACCTGCCCTCTTGAATTAAAAAAAAAAACAAAAAAAAAACACAACTTTTTTTTTTTTTTTTAAAGAAATGACTTAGAGTTTGGTAATTGAATGTAGTGGCATTTTTTGGACACTAACATCTTCTACCAAAACTGAAGTTATTTTTCAGGTACACCACATTGTGTTTAGAAATAATAATGATTTAAATTGAGATGGAAAGTAAATTGAATCAGATCAAAATAAAACTAAACTAATAAATACACTTCTGAACTCAGCATCATGAAAGCTAAATGGCAGCTATTTATACCAAAGAGCGCCACAAAGCAATTTAATGAATTTTTTAAATTTATGCATACAAGAACTGGGGTGTAGGCCAGAGTGCAGGCGGGTGAGAGGACTCACCAGAGACAGAGTGGGGAGCAGAACAGGCAGGCACTGAAAAAGGCACTGAAACACACTGCTGAGGGGAGCATCGGGAAGACAGGAGAGGTCTGCCGCACCATGTGAGTTGCTCCCTGCCTGGGGATCGAACTCAGGCCGTAGCGGTGATAGCACTGAAACTTAACACCTAGGCCACCAGGGAGGCCCAAAGAAATTTAATTTTTGCCTCACATTACACTGTGTCCGGAAGGTGGAATTATGATGGTAGGGAAAGATGGGGCTATATAAAGCATGCGGCAATGTTTTCGTTTCTCTCCTTCCCTCATTGGCCCTAGTTCACAGGCAAAAAGCGTAACGAGAAAGGCTTGAGCCTACTACAAACCCATCACTGCTCACAGGGGGTGACACGAGAATTGTTTTCCTGAAGAGCTAATAACTGATACCTAGAGTTTCAGCAAAGACGGAATAAAATCGATTTGTAAATGATAACTTGAAAAATGAAAACCTGATTTTATATAAACGCATAAAACAGTTAAAATATATCTACTACTTTGAAAGTCTGTGATGATGTTTGGGGTCGGTTCATCGTGTTTAAGGGAGAAGCAGAGGGCATCAGGCTTTGCTCAGCTGTAGTCACCTCGCGATCCTTCTGTGACACAGGAGATACCCTCAAGCTCATTCTTCTTTCTGGCGGTTTATCCCCCTGGAGCTGACTCACCTAGTGTAGCTGACAACTCCAAGAACTATAACCCCTTTTTGTAAGCCTAACTGCTTTATAAATTTGGCTTTTCTAACACTACCTTTGGAAAACAACATTTAGTCGTATACCCACCATCAAGAAAGTACCTTGGAAACCCACACAGAAGCAAGGCTCCCAGCAGTTGGTCAGTGCTGAGCCTACAGGGCCATCGTTTCGCTGGAGAGCGTGAGGTGGCGCGCACCTGTTCTACATCGGGGCCTGCCAGAATCACCTCCTGCTACCCAGCAAGCAATTTGGGCCTTAATTATGTTTGTTTAACCTGCACATTGTGCCCTGAGGGGGGTGGAGGGGTGCAGCGAGAGGGGTTTTGGTGCTGTCAATTACCACTCACGGGATTTTACTTTGAACTGTTGAGAAAAAATAATGTACCACATTCTGTAATAAGATAAAGGCTTTCTGATAATTCAAACATTGCTAATTACAAATGCATTTCCTGTAAGCACAATTCCTTGCCGTTTGCCATTTCTCCTTAGAACTTGCTCCTGAGGTCGACCACCTTTCCCGCGTCATGCTTCTTTCCATTTGGCCGGGTGGCTGTATTCCCAAGGGTCGGCAGCCACTCAGCCTGCTGAGCGGCCCCGCATCGTGCCTCATGAGAACAGCGACACCGGCTAACACGCAAGCCAACCGTGGCTTTTAACACTGCCTTTTGTGTAAAAAGTGTCAAAATGACTTTTCATTGTAAGACTAGAATGTTAACATGTAAAAATAAAATTCTCCTTGGAAGGATATATATTCAGCTTGCTCCCTCCTTCCCAACTGAATGGTGATTTACATTTATGCGGAATCACTTACCCTTCCCTTTTTGGTTCAGGGTTATTTTATACTTATTCACCTGCTATTTTCAGTTTAAGGCATGAAAAAGATGACAAATCTTTGAAGTGGAATCAGGGATGTTATCTGCGCAGGGATGGCATCTGCAGCTCCTCAGGCAGATGCCTGGCGGTCAGTCCCCATTTGCCTCCACGGTGGGTCTGGCTGTGGGGAAGGAAGACATCTCATTGGCCTTACGGTACTTGAGTCTTTCCTCCTGAATACTTTACATCCTGCACAAAACATGTAGTGAGGACTCTCCTCTTCTTCCCTTCCTTCTTTTTTCCCTCCCTGCATCCCTCCCTGCCTCCTCAACTAGAAGAAATGTCTCTTCTAGCGTTGCTTTGTATCTCTTCTATTTTGTAATTGACCATGTTCTCACACCATATTCTCATGGACCATATTCTCCTGTGCTTTTAAAATTTTCACACGTGAGCTGTCTGTCTGTTATTTATACGTTTTTCATTTAATTTTCAGGTTTAAGCTTAAGGATCTATTTAAATCTAGGTTATTTATATTACAGTATCACACAATAGATTTTATCCTCTGTGTGTGTGTGTACTGCACATTTAAGCTCCTTCCATCTCTTCTTTCTTACAAGTAATGTTCTGGAAGCACCTTCCTCCTTGTAGGTTTTCTTGGCGCATGTGGAGAATGTATATCCCGAAGTGTAAGAGCATATGCATCTTCACCCTCACTTCAGCATGCTGGTAGACGGAGATGTCTTCCTGTTAACCTAGGTTCCCACGCTTGGCTGCCGCCCTAACCAAAAGGAGGATCATGAGGGTGGGTGGCGCCTGGCCCATCTCCTTGGATGGAGCGTAGCTCGAGCCCTGCCCCCACTAACCTTCCCGTGGCACATTCGCTCCTAAGGTGCCCACAGACCTGGGCATTGCTACCTTCCTGCATGCTCACTTCGCTTTGCAAGGGTTTATGTGTTTTAACTGGAAAATAATCTACTAGATTGAAAATACTAGCAGGTTCTGAGAAGATGGAACAGAGTCTCTCATTCACTTTCAAATTAGAGACTAATGAATAGCAGGGTGCTGTCTAAATAATGCATTTTGATAAAAGTCATGAGAGCAGGTTCTACAAATACACTAAAACTCACCTTGGATTTCTGTTACTATTTTTAAAATCTTTGGTGGTTAATGTTTGGGGGCGTGTAATAAACTTGATCATAGCTAGTCACTCACCTACGTGAATCTAAATGTTAATTGTCAACAAAATTGTCTCAGAATGAAAAGAGTACTTGAGTTTTATGCAAAAGCAAAGAAAAAGTCCCACGAAAGTGACTTGTTGGATTTATAACAACAGTTGGATGAGCTTGATTACAGAGCATTGATCTTGGATTAAGAAGTTGAGCTATATAATCAGGAGTGTTAGGGAGGCGGGGAAGAGTAAGAAGTAATCATTATTATTGTAAGATATTTAAATGGATGGATGAGTAAATAGTACATGACATCTGTGGGAGACAACGCTTTGCTGGGTCTCCCTCCATAGCCTTCTTGCCCAAAGCTCAGCAGCTGCGCATGAGGGTGTTGAAGAGTTACTGGTGAGCGAGCGAGTGAGTGAACAAACTAGTGATGCTTGAAGCATGGCCAGAGGTGCACAGGTTTGTTTGCTTTCCTATTAGGAATAAAATGATTCCTTTGATAATAATCATGAGATATTAAATTAGAAAATAATCCTACTACCATATTTTACTCTAATGTTAAGGGGTTTTATTTCTTAGATATTTTTGTTGATTCCACATTAGAGAGGACATCTGTTCTGGGTTATGTGAAGCCCCATTCTTTCCCATGGTATTTATTCATTCTGTTTAAAACTCTAGCAAAGTCCATCTTTGATATACATAGCATCCTTTTAAAAAAATGTCCTGGGGACCTAATAATTCTCTTTAAAGCTTTTTAGAGGGGCCGCCCTGGTGGCTCAGGGGTTAAAGTCTCAGCACTATCAAGCTATCCCCAGCCACTGTCCCCTGAGTTCAATCCCCGGCCGGGGACCCACATGGCGCGGCAGACCTCTCCTGTCTCCTGCTGCTCCCCTCAGCAGTGTGTTTTAGTGGATCCGCCTGTTGTGCTCCCCGCTCTGTCTCTGGGGAGTCCTCTCACCCTTCCCTACTTCTTGCCCACACCCCAGTTCTTCGCACAAAAATAAATAAATAAAATCTTTAAATATATATATAAATCTTTTTAGAGCTGAGCTAAGAGTCTCACCCAGCCCCTTGGGTTGTGCTCCTACCACGGACTGGTGCATGACGGATGTTTGCGTAGCTGTGACCAAACAGACTGGTCACGTCAGGGTTTGTTTGACTCACATGTAAGGGAAAACATAACATGCAGGCAAAATGCCAGACTATGTGTCCGTCAGGAAATGAGTATGGTGAGCTGTGGCCGACATAACTGTAGTGACTGAGATACGTTTACCTGAGAGTGTTTGCAGGTAGTAAGAAGTGTGGCTTTATGCGATCTATGTTTTTGAATGCGGATTTGTGATTTAACCTATTTTTCCTTCTGTGGTTGCGGTAAAAATATTTACAAGGCAGCTGTTGCAGAGACAACAAGGCGTAGGGGACTTGGGGCGTTCTTGGGTGCGCAGACGGAGGCAGAGCCCCGGGAACGCGGTCGCGGAGGCGCCCGGGCAGGTGGCCTCCTGGTGTTTTGACGGAGATGGCGCCGGTCCCGGCCCCCGGGCGAGGGAGGGCTCGTTTCAGACCCTCGGCGTGTGCGACCACCCGCCCGGCACTCCGGCCGGACCCGTGCGCGGCCCCGTTCATCCGCCGCCCTCCCCGCGCCGCGGCTGTGCGTCCAGGGCCGGGTTTGCAGGGTTGTGGTGGGCGGTGGCCGGTGCCGGCGCCCTCTGCCCGCCTGGACGGGGCGGCCTTCTCCTCTCCCTTCCCCGCCCCGCGGAGCCCGCCAGCCCGGCCGCGGGGTTGGGGCGTGCTCACGGGCGCGCGTGTCCGCCCGGCGGGATTGCCCGCGGGGAGACGCCGGTCTCTGACCGCGCCGCCGGCCCGAGGCCCCGCGCCGGCTGCGGGGAGCGCGCGGCGGGCACTGGGCGGGGCGCCCGGGCCAGTGGCGGGTATCGGGCTAGGGGCTGGGGCGCCGGGGCGCGGCCATCCGCTTCAATGCCTCGAGGACCCCGCACGCTGCTTGCGCGGGGCGGGCGGGTCGACGCCGCCAGCGGTGTACGAGGGCCCCGACCCCGCTTCCCGCCCGCCGCGGCCGTTGTTCTTGGCCCGCGGGGGCCGCGCGCACGGGCGGGAGGGGCGGCGGCTGCGGGGTGGCCTGCGCGCCCCTGTCCCCGAGCGTGCGTGGTGCTGGGCAGGCCTCAGGGGCCGGCCGGTCTCCCGCGGGGTGCCTTTCCCACGTGGGCTGTGCGCTGCGGGCCGGGCGGGAGGGGGCCCCGGGCCTGCTCGTGTCGTGGCCCCCGCCGCCGAGCGCGCGCGCAGCCCCGCCTGCCCCGCGCACCTCCGGACCCCAGGGGACAAGGCGACGCCGCGGGCGCGGGCGGGGAGCCGTGTGCGCGCCTCTGGGTCTCCGCGCTCCCTGCCGCAGCGGCGGCGGGCGGAGGGGGCGAAGGTGGACGCCGCGCGGGCCAGCTGTCCTCCCGAGCGCCCTGCGGCCCGGCGCGCCCGCTGGAGACTCGCCACCGCGGCGCGGGCAGGGGCGGGAAGACGGCGGCCCGCATGGGCGGCGGGCGCTCCGCGGCTCCGGGAGGACCGCCAGGGCGCGACAGCCGCGGGCCCAGCGGTGGACACACAGGTTCTCCGTGAGCCATTTCCGGCGGCGCCGGGCGTGGGCCTCGCCGCTCTCGGGGGCGCCCGCCGAGCCCGCGGCAGCCTGCCCCGGTGTGCCCAGTGTCCCGGCCCCGCCGGCCCGACGTCACGGAGGCCGGGCACCGGCGCGAGTAGCCCAGAGGACAGCCCCGGGCCTGGAGCTGCCAGCCGGGCGCGACGCCCCCCGCGGGAAGCCCGCGCTCAGGGCGGGCTCTGCAGGCGGCGCTGGCTCGCGGCGTCCGTGGGAGACCGGAGACCCGCGCCCCACACGCCTTTGGCGAGTACAGTAGCCGCGCGTTCGGAGCAGCGCGTAAAACACATTCAAAGCTGATGAACGCAGCGTTTACCAACATTGAAACAATGAGTTTGAAAGGGTTGTTTTTGTGTTTCTTAAGTTGGCAAGCATTTGAAAAGTCCGTTGGTTCCGAGAGAAAACACGCTTTTGAGTGAAAGGTTTTTTTTTTTCCAATTTCTTTCGGTCTCCATCCTGTCACGTTCCGTGCCAGAGTGCCTTCCGCGCTCCCCGCCCGGGCCGGACTCTGCTCCGGTGTGTCAGCGCGCTTCCAGCCGATTGTTCCTGTTTCTAGAAAGTGACCATCGCGCTTATCCCGCAGGAGGGGAGGGAGAGCTTGCAGAAAAAGAACAGGAGCACTGACACGACGAGAGACTGGGTTCCCATCCCCGCCCGCGCGAGGCCACCTCCCGGAGCGCGACGAGGAGCTCTGCTAAATGCTCTGTTTATCCCGGAGGGTTTTCTCTCCGTCTCAGCGGAACCTCACGTTATGGATGAACTTCTTACCAGTTTCCACTGAGCACTAGTTTTCCGGGACTGACTGACTTGAATTCATCTCATTGGAAGCTCCATTTCCCTCCAGCCTTTTCTCTTCTTCCTTTGTCCACTTGCAAATTCTCATACAAATGTGATCTGTCAACAGCCGGGCAGCGGGTCCCTCTCCCGATGGGCTGCTGGGACAGGCCGGTAGCCGCCATCATCCTGTGTCAGCAGGGCCACTCAGTGAGAGACATTGGCCTCAGCAGACGGCTCCTGGCTACTGTTCCACCCTCTCGCCACTGACCCCTACTCTGCCCTCTCTCGTGGGAGCCCCCTGGTCCATCCCCGCCCTTCACTCTTGGGTGTGCCTATCGGGAGTCTGTGTGTCCAGGGGCTGTGGTGAGCCAGTAGCACACATTAGCTCATTCTCTGAGCCCACGGCCAGCATCCCCCACCATCCCCCTGCATCCCCACCGCGTCACACTGCTGGCTCTTGGGGTGTCTGATAGAGGCGCTTTCACTGCACCCCTGAGGCTCACACGTCTGTAGGCGGCTGTGTCTGCTGCTCCACTCTTACTGTCCTGGTTTCGCCCCTTGCCGCTTCTCAACTGCTCCTGCTCTGATTCTGCCGCGTGAGGACTTATTTCCGCGCCCATCCCTTGCAGTCACAAGTGGTGGCTAAGCTGGGTGTGCAAACATATGGCAGCTCTCTGCTACTTTTATTTCCCGTCAGCGCTGTGATGACGCTCTGTCCCCTGGACTCGGGCCGCCCGCCCGTGTTCTCTTGTGCCGTTCTGTGCTGCACGGGCCACCCTCATTCCCAGGTGTGCGTTCCATGCCGTCGTCTTGAATGTAGTACAAAGCGCAGGTGCCAAGCTATGCTGTAAAACTGTGTCCTTCATTGTCCTTGGAATATTCCGTCCCTTTCCCTGGCTGGCCCGTAGCTGCACATGGCCAGCCCCACCGACCCACACCAGAGCCAGCCGTGCACCCAGGGGTCTTGCTTTGCTCATCTGTTCTCTTGATTCAGGCCTCCCTAGCAGCTCTCAGCACACCGAGGTGGGCACTTTGTGCTGGAGACTCTCCATGCGGTTCCCGGGGCTCCCATCCCCATGTGTGCTGAGACGCTGCCTCTGAGACGGAGAGACTGGGTCCTCCCCTGGTTCCTGGAGGCCTTGCTCAGAAGGATGGGCTGGCAGGAGGCAAGGGGGGGAGAAGCAGCCCTGGGCCCCGCCCTCTGTCCTAGCTCACCGCAGTCCCGCCACACGGCGCCCCTGCGGGTGGGAGTCCATCACGGCTCACGTTGTCTTGCCCTCTCCAGGCGCCTCCGGGCTTTTTACCCCGAGGGTTTTTTGTTGTTTTTTTTTTTAAGCTTGCCTGACTAGTGAGGAGTGTCTTCACTGAGTTGTCTTGGACACCCTGCTGTGCCATCTTTTTCTTGCCAGGAAACTTGAAGGTTGCAATTGCGAGTATTTGTCTCAGCTTTAGACACAGAGATGGAGGCTCGCGTGTCCCGTGAGCGCCCGGGCCACACCAAGCACAGGCTGGCGAGACGCAGCGGCTTGCAGGCCTGGCAGTGGCTACCAGAGAAGCCACCAGCTCACTACATCAAGTCAGCTTAGCCACAGCCCAGGGGCCCCGCTTCCAGCAAGTCTCTGTCGGCTTGACTCACCTGCTCCTGACACACAACACTGTTTCTGCATATGGCCCCGTGCAGATCATGCTTTCTGGCCCATGGGGTTTCCTCTCGTAGCCGCCTCATCGCAGTTCTCTCCGCACTTGGACATGCCCGTTGCCAGGCCTGCGGGAAGGTCTCCCCGGAGCTTGACTATGAAATCACAAGATTGCGCACTGATAGGTTCTCCCCCACCCCCGACTTTAAACACGCTTGATGCCAGCTGCGGATCACGCAGACACAATTTCCCCGGGTGGCTGAACTAGTAATTCACCCCCAGGAACTAGGCCTTTTGTTTTTTTTTTCATCTTAGGTCAGAGATTTTCTTCCTTCTCAGCCTTAACCTGCGTCTTGGTCAGGGCGCACTTTGCTTTGCTGTTGTGAAGGACCTGCAGGTTCCAGCTGTGAGGGTTTCATTACCTTCGTCATCACCAAAGAGCAGTCTCTCCATTCTTTACTATTTATTTTCAAAATTTGGTGTGTAGGACTTGCCGCAACCTGAAAACAGATATACCACACATCACACGAGTTACAAAATGACTTCATCATCCAAGACAGAAGCTGGACAGTTTTGTCAAATTGATAGCATAGTAGGTAAAACTGATGGCAGAAGAATCTTCAATGCCATTTATCTAGTTATAAACAGTAATCACTTACACACCCACCTGTGCATGTGTGTGCACCTTGGAGAGCTTGTGGGTCACCTCATCTACTCAGCTGAAAGCCCAGATTGCCCTGTTTTGGATAGCAGCAATGTTCACGAATATTCAGACAAGAGAATTACATTTTCATGAATTTTCCAGGGTATACCTTTATGTTTCTTTTTAGATGAACTTCTAGACACTTTTCTGGTTTTTGATGAGCTTCTCTAGTTCGATTCATTATATCAGAAAAGGATATATCCTTTCTTGTATAAAGGAAAGGGAGAATTCTCATTTCTATTATTTTGAACACTGTTATTCTACTTGATTTCAGTAATTTATAAGGCTTGCATTCTTTTCCCTCATTAGGAGAAAAAAGATACTTTGGATGCCCTAAGGAAAC